GGCCCATTATATATTTAGTTGTCCTACAATTCCCATCAGCCCTAGCCAGGAGAGCAAATTAGGGCGGAATGCTGGGAGTTGCAGTCCAATGGCAGGAAGGTTGGTCCGCCCTGATTTAGTTCCTCACTGGCCAGAATCCTCTTGGAGTTGACATAAGCTTTGTGTGACTTGCTGGGGCTCCTTGCGGCTAATTCACAAGGTGCCTGGTCATGTGCCTGAATACACTGCTGACATGACCCATTGCCACCCTGTCAGTTAGCAGCAATGAGCCATGGCAAGTTGTACAAACCTTAATGCGAAACAACATCCTGGCCGTTACATCTTGAGCTGAGTCTGGGTCTTTCCATGCCGAGATAAGGATTGTTGTGACATCAGCAGTTCCTACAGACATCAGCCCTAACCCTCTGCTGTTCCCTTCTGCATGTCTGAACATCTCCACGGTGTGTAGAGCAGTGGCTTCTGGAAGTTTGCTTATTTGTTTGTTTTATTCATGCATGCATTCCTTCGTTAAAGTTCTTCCCCACCCATCGAGTGCACAAGCCCCTACTCTGGGCAGCTTCCAAGAAAGAAACATAGAAAAAAATTTAAAATAATAAGCCTACCCCCCCCACACACACCCCTACCTATCCTAAAAACCCCAGTCTAGCAAGCTTTTCAAGATGGCACACTATGGGGGGGGGGGTTTCATCCAAAATTGCCTCAAAATTAAAAGCCAGGTTTTAATTTGCTTCCTGAAGCTCAGGAGGATGGGGGTTGTAGTCCAAGAACATTTGGAGCCTCACATTTGGGAACCACTGGTGTGGGGATAAACTAGACAGCCATATTGAGGCATTAGACATTCATACTTATTGGTGGTCAGCTGGCTAAGCACAGTTTATGACCCTCATTCCTGAGTTTCCAAACTGAAATGCTCCCAGCTTCCCCTCATTCTCAAATGGAGCATCTTTTGCTGCCACACTTTTTCCCAGCTTGAAAATAAATAAATAGGGTATTTTTTTAAAAAATATTTAAAATAATATTTTTACCCCAGCTTTCCCCTTTTCTCCTTAAAAAGGACCCAAGGCAGTTTGCGTCATTAAAAGACAATATTTGAAGCTAAAAGCAGCAAGTATACAAATACTGTACTAAAAAGCATCAAACAGATACCACTCTAAGAAAAGATAAACAAAAGCAATTAAAAAACCCACAAAAAACCACACACATTCACAGCAGCAGGCACAACAATCCATTTAACCCCACACACACCCACTCAGGAAGCCAGTCACTCAGTGGAAGCTTGCCTGAAGAGAAAGGTCTTCATCTTTTTGGGGAAGGATAGCAAAGATGGGGCCAGCCAGGATTCCTGTGGGAGGGAGTTCCACAGTCTGGAAGCAGCCACAGAGAAGGTCCTCTCCTGTGTCCCTACCAAGTGCACCTGTGAAGGTGGTAGAACGGAGAAAAAGGCCTCTCCTGATGATGCTCAGTATACCGATGGGCCTTGTTATACTGTTTATATCTCTAAGCCCGTAATGACAGCACAGCTACAGGATTTCAACTGGAGAGGTTTTAAGAGTTGTGGAGGTAGCTGTATTAGTCTCTTGCAGGGGAAAAACCCAACACAGAATGTTGTGTTAAATCTCCTTTTTTGTCTGGTGAAGTGGACTTGTCCACGAAAGCTCACATTAAAAAATATATAAAGTTGTTTTTGAGGTAGCACCACAGTTTTGTTAGTTTTTTACTTTTTTATTTCTGTTTTGCTTTCATCTATAATACAAAATCTTGTGTCCCCTTAAAAACTAAAAAATGTATTTGGTACAAGCTCTCCTCGGACTGCAGGACGAGCTGTTTTCTCAGATGTGTGGGGTGTAGCCTCAGTATTGAGATCTGGGAGAATGAAGGGGGAAGGTGTACCAGCTGATGATGGTCTTAACAACTGGTTGCTTATCGGTTGTTGAGATGGTGGCAAGGCCGTGCTGGCATACCCAAGTAGCATGATGAGGAATAATCTAACTAACTAACTAACTAACTAACTAACTAACTAACTAACTAACTAACTAAATAAATAAATAAATAAATAAATAAATAAATAAATAAATAAATAAATAAATAACTAAATAAATAACTAAATAAATAACTAAATCAATCAATAAATAAAATAAGGATTAAAGGCAAGAGTTTCCTAGATAGTGGTAATAAAAGAAATGAAAAGTTGGGTGGTAATACAGACAAACCTGTAAAGGTGAGCTGCTTAACTTCAGTTGTGAGATACAAAGCCTTTATACCTATTCAAGCAACAGGAAACAGGAAGCCTTTTGATGTTTCCCACGAGATTCCAGTGACTAGAATCAGTGGTTTAATGATCAATCTGGAAGTTCACTACTCCTCTTGATAGTCTCCGTAGCCATTGGGCCCACCATTGCAAGCTACTGGATCTGTCTGTATTGACCAAGGAAGACCAGGTCTTTTGTAAAGCTAATGGCTTTTAACTGCCCGTTCAAGAGTAGCATTATACAACAAAGGTGGTTTGCAATAATGTCCTTTTCCTGCAAAAAACCAATTTCTCTCCCAGCTCCTGTGAGGATTGCTGCTAAGCCGATGGTGGGAAGGACCAAGAATATTTGGCCCCATCTTTGAGAAACCTGGTGTAGTGACAAACCTAGGGAGTCACGATGAGGATTCAGACATTCATATGTTTTGGTGGGCAGATGGCTGGCACCGTTTATGACCAGCATCCTGAGTTACTAAAAAATGCTTCTAAACTTCCCGAGCATCTTTGTCTCTCCTCCTTAAAAGTCCTGGGACTTCGACACCAATGGAACAAGGGAACTTCTGTGTGCACAGCCTGTATTCTTCCACAGGTCTCTAGGCATTTTAGCTAGCGATGGTACCAGAGGAGGTAATCTAATAAAAGGAAAAAAGTCAGATGGTCCTTGTATGCAATCTGAAGGCAAGAGTAGGTGATACCTCTGTTAGACCCCCTAAACAGTCACAAAGAAACACTGGTTTTCTTATAGCCACGATTTTTGGAAATCTTGTGTTCTGTCCTGCACTATCCACAGATAAGTGGTGCTTAGCCTAATGAACGCCCACCTGAGCTGAAAGCTACGAATTGTTTGTGATTTTTGTTGTTGTTGTTGTTGCTATAACCAAGGCATCACCTACCCTTGTCCTTTGGACTGAGGAAGTTGTGTGTGGAAAAAGCCACATCATACTTGGCTGGCCTTTTCGGTTATTTGTTTTCTTTTCAGGAAGCACCTGTGACCCAGCATATCCGGCTGGCAATATTTCAGGATTGGCCCCTCCCTAGGAATCGGGTGGGCAAGAGAGACAAGAGTGAAAACTGATTTTACTGCTTGGAAATGAAGTGGGAAAATACTTTCCACAGGAAGAGATTGGGAGAGTAAAATGATTCACAGAGTAAAATGACCCTGCAGGTCCACTCATTACGTTCCTAGTAACCTGACTTTCTAGTCTGAATCATATTTCCATCATCTCATGAAAACAAGGACAGGCAGTGAAGTGGTGTGCTGTCACAAAAGGGATGAGAAATTTTTCTGCCACCTGAAGGCCCGCTGTTCTGTGTCCCCCCCCCCATACCTCTCTCTCTCTCTGTATTTGTATTTATTATAGAAAAGTTTTAAGTGCTTCCTTAATTTGTACAGTACTATACTTTAGGTCTTTTTGATCATTCCTTATTTTGAAGAGTTTTATGCGGATGTACCAGTTCATAGACAGACAGACAGACAGACAGACACACACACACACACACACA